GGGGTGCGGTGGGGAGGAGACGCCTAAATTGAGAACTCCGGGCCATCCGTTAAACGGATTGGAACGATACAGAGAAAGAAGATTAGCATGGCCCCTGCGCAAGGATGACACGCATAAATCAAGAAGAAGAAGAAGAAGAAGAAGAAGACAAGAAAAACACAGTGTGTAATCCAGGGGCAAGGTCTGCAATGTTGGCATTGGCGAGTGGTGCAGTGGTGTCATGTTAAGAACTTAAGAGATTCAGGAGTTTCCTGGGATTTGCGAGAAGCACCACCCTACGATGTTTATGACAAAGTAGAATTTGATGTACCCGTAGGTACACGAGGAGGTTGTTACGATAACTAAAATGGTTAGTCCTTGAAAAAAAAAAAAAAAAAAAAAAAAAAAAAAAAAAAAAAAAAAAAAAAAAAAGAAGAAGAAGTTTCTTTTTAAACCTCACTCTTATGGAAGACGGCAGGTCCCACTTGCAAAAAACGGGCTTCCATAAGAGTGAGGTCCCACTTGCAAAAAATGGTTCTTGATGTCCCATTTGCACTGCAGGCGTTCTTCCTTTCTGTCCGTAGATTTATGAGAATAAAAGTTTTAGACAAAAAGGAAGGAAGAATCCATGCAAAAAAAACAAGTCCACGCAAGCGGAAGATGTAGCAAAGAGGATTGGATTAAGACCCCGAGTCTGGATGGGTTTGAAGCAGAGATGAAGACGATCATTTTTTCAATCAAGATTTTCTGCACCTCTCCACAAACACGTCCACATTCAGGAATTGCATCCAATCCTCTTTGTGCGAGTGGGACGCTAAAGAGTACACGCTACCGCCCAAGGCTGGCAGTAAGATCTTATTTTATATACCGGATAAACCGTGTTTAAAAAACAAAAAGATTTAATATTTATTGATTGACTAATTCACGTCCATTACGGTCCATGTTTTTAATCCTCTTTTTCTTTCTTTTTTTTTAATCCTCATTATTATAAACCATAAGTTGTAGAAAATTGAAAAAAAAAAAACGCAAATATGATGATGATGATCATCATCCTCATCATCATCATCATCATCATCATCATCATCGTCGTCCTATCAATCATGGAATTCATATTTTAGTTCTCCCATAACTCCCCCATGTCCTGTCTGGTCTGCAGGTCTGGCGCTCTCCCCTAGCTGCTCCCAGCCGGTCTACCGTCTTCCCCCGAACATAACGCACCCTGATAATGAATGTAAATGAGCCATATTTCCGGTCAGGTGCAGCCAAAATGAGGATGCGTTGTGTTCGGGAAAAATCGGTAGTCTGCACGTCTGTACTTTGCCCACAGTCCCAATCCACGAACCGCAGGTTTATGTGGAAATTGTCCCTACCGTACAAATCCTGTACGGACGTAGAAATTATGTACGGACAAGCGCCCTCTGTCTGCAGTTTTTTTTTTTTCAATATCACAAACACACTTGCCCCTCTCTGCAGATTACAGTCAGTGATTCCCATCTCTCTCTGCAGATTTAAACCCACCCCCCTCTCCTCATCGATCCCCCCAAAACCCCGTTAGCAGGCCCTAAGGAACCCCGACGTACCTCCTTTCTACTCCCTCCCTCTCCCTCTCTGAATTCCTGTCTTTAACAACCGTCTTCACCCGAATAGAACGTACCGTCATGACCGCTGTATCTAGACTGAAAGTTGCCCCTAATACAGGCATAATGACCATACGTACCATTCAAGGGAAGACAGCAGTCTCCCTTACCCCCGTTCTTTACACACTTTCGAGTTTCAACACCCTTTAACCTCCG